TGTGAGTAAACGTCTTCTAATACCGACATTGATATCACAGTCGATGTACCTTACGTTGTTTTCGTGTAAGGGAGTGTTCCACATTTTTATGTTATTTTAAACTGACTGAAACAGCCATTATGAAGATCAGTCCGTCCCGGCGGCTAAGTCGGTTAGAGCGCCTGCCTTTCCATTCACCCACCCGTGGCGAGGTGGGTTCGAGTCGCTTTAGGCGCTCGCTATTTATCCTTGACAGATATGGCCTGCGGCCGGTGGCAGCGGTTGCGCTGAAGGTCAGTTGACGTCAGAGGGCAGGACGGACCGTGCCGAGCATTGCGGCACGTTAAGCTTTTGCCACTAAATTCTGCCGTTGACATGGAATTGGGCGATCGGATGGTAAGGGTCAGGGCTCACATAACAAGCACCGCTTAGCGTGAACGCTGATCCCAGAAATGCATCCATTCCGAGGGTTCGGATCAAATTTCTAAAAAAGTCAGGCTAGTTTATAGCCATGCCCTTCACAAGACCTAAGCCCCTCTATTTTCTCAGCTACAAGCCAGCAAAAATGCGCAGACTTTCGGAGATACTATTTCAAGGTCAATCAGGCACCAATCACGTCATAATAACGTCATTCAGATCCTGACGTTCCACTGGTCATGCGGCAATCAAGGCCAAGAGCAATGTACTTTTTGCTTCGTCTATATCTGGCGTTCGTAAGCACGATTTCCAGATAAAAGGGCCGTCAATTGGCTCTGAAGCATTGTTTTGCAAGGTGGGGATGAGGTGGTCAAATGGTGACGTATTGAGTAGCTGGTTTGTTTAGTGAAAAAAAGATTATTTAGCTATGTCTTTCCCACTACAAAGTAGACCAGCAGTTATGAGTGAGATTTTGTCATCATATTTGATGCTCTGATGCTATCTGATGCATACATGATGCTCCAATATCTTCAAATGTGGAACATTCCCTTTATGTTGCAATTATTATGACGTGCGCTTCTATGGAGAGGGAATCTGCGCACAGGGCGAAGGGCAAAAATTTTTCACTACGCATAAAATTCGCTCCTGATTCTATGTCCATGTGAGGATGCTCATACACAACTGTTCCTACAGCTTTCGGCTTCTTGCTGCGAATAGTGATACCAGCCACTCTACTAACTTTCTCCGAGAACAGCCTATCCTGACAAAGACCCTTTCAAATGGCGCTGTCTCAAACGATGTCGTTTTTCGTCAACGGCGATCCGAATGATCTGACCGACTGCTGTCCTAGGTCACGACCCGGATGACCTGACATTGAACATGACAGTGATCCCCGTGACTTGACGCAGGCAGTCGGCGGTAATCAGTGTAGCTGATCCCCGTGACTTGACGCAGGCAGTCGGCGGTAGTCAGTGTAGCTGACCCCCGTGACTTGACGCAGGCAGCCGGCGGTAGTCAGTGTAGCACGAACATGGCCATCAGCGTTGACGCGAATGATCCGAGTTCAGCCGTCAGCGGTGACCCGAATGATCTGAACTCGGTCATTAGCGGTGACTTCAGCGACATGAACTTGGTCACCAGCGGTGACCCGAACGACCCGGCCGTGCTGGCGCTCGTGAAGGAGCAGATCGAGGCTTGGTCTGAGCTGATGAGCCGGCACCGTCACGAAGAGTGGGAGCTGCTGAAGGAACACTACAAGTGCCAGGAGGACATCCTCAAGAAACTGATGGAAGTCGCCCAGGCGGCCCAGATCAAACAGATCGAGGCCAAGTTCGAGCGGTGAGCCGGTCTTTCTTAGAGCCCCAGCTGCTTTCAGCTATCTGGAGGGGGCGGGGGGGGGGCTACGAGGATGACCCAGAAGGCCTCGCTCAGGTGGAATGATTTCTTGCTCTGCTGAAGGCGCTCAGGAGTGGCTGTGTTTCTGCTTTATTTACCTGTCGGCATAACGTCATACGGAGGCTGTTAGCTTGTGTGGTTTGCCTCAAATCATAACGGCATTGCGTCACGCACCAACTCCCGGCTGGTCTGGATCAAAGCACCGAAATGTGCGTTTTTTCTTATGCCGAGGTCCACAGTCTGTCGCGCGTCTGATGGGCCCGACCAAGCACGTGTTCTGTCACCATTCTGACGTAAAGTACCACAGTATGGGCCCCAAAGTACCGCAGTATGCGACCCATCTGCAGCAAGGGACGCAATGTATGGTCGTTCTGATGCGGAGAACCTCAGCCTGTTTCTGGCTTCAGAGAGAACAAGGAGATGAAGGCCCGCCAGGCCAAGGTGTCGGTGGACACGGCCAAGGACGTGGCGCAGGACAAGACGCTCCGCAACAAGGCCGAGAAGGATCGCCGACTGCGCGAGAAGAACCAGAACAACACCAAGAAGTTCATCGAGGAGCGCAAAATGGCGGCCGTGCGCCAGAACAAGGAGTCGGAGAAACTGAAGAAGCAGCACGAGCAGCAGATGCAAGACCTCTCCAGGGACATCAAACTGGTAGATTTTCCAGCCGAGTGCTTTGGTGATCTGTAAAAGCTTCCATGTGGTGAGGAAGAGTGCGTTTATTTGCGTACTCAATTGTAATTTATGCGCGTGTACTCGCTTGTTAAGTTATAACGAAGCTCCATGATTAAAAACCAATGAAGTATATAAATCATGGCCGAAGCCAAGCCGATCGAAAGGTGCTAAGTTGCCGTGGCGCATGCCGTATTTTGTCGGTCATCGAACCAATGCGTGCCGTATTGTGTCGGTCACCGAACCAATACGTGCCGTATTGTGTCGGTCATCGACCCAATACGTGCCGTATTGTGTTGGTCACCGAACCAATACGTCTATGTTCCTCACGTGCTTCCTCAACTTCTAATCAGATCTTTTGCTGGTTGTATAGTGTATTTTGAATTCAAAGGCTTTCATCATGCCTGGTCACACGTAGTTATTTTTCTGTTCGGATCTCCCTACCTTGTCTTTTATCTTTGTATCCCTGTCCTCTTTTAAAGTCACTGCGTGTCGCAGTATGTTATTTTCGTCACATTTCCTGCACTGATCCCCCACCTTTGCGCGTGCAGCGCTTGTTGACGCCCACTGTTCGCACTGACTGCGCCTGACACATGGCTGGCGTGCCCACCTCCAGAGCGTGGAGATGTACGAGCAAGCGGCCGTGGAATACGAACTGCGCTCCAAGTGTGAATTCTACGCCTGAAGCGCTCGCGGTCCGTGTCCAGAGACTGACTGTAGCTGGTCGGTCGCCTGGCCGGGTGGATGCGGCAGAACCGACAGGCTGCCATCATTGCAGTCCGTCCTTACAAACTTGCTTCTATGGACAGGACCCGTGAAGCCAAGACCACATTTGAAGTACGACTCTGGCGAACCTAACTGCGCGACTTCGTTGGAGACGTCGGACCTTTAGCGTGACCCCAGGTGTTGTGTGGAGCCTTGAAGCCCTCAGGCTCTGCATCTCTGGATGCCTGGATCAATGCTCAGGGAAAGGATGGGCGCTCTGTTCTGAGTGTTGCCATTTTTGAAAGCATGGTGGGAAATACAGTAACGGCTAATGGCTAAAATGACTAAAACATAAGTTGTTTGTCAATGATGATGCTATCAAACGGGCCCTCAAGGTACCATGTTCTAGTCAGCATTATCTATTTGGGCCATAGTGATGTACTCGGCAATCTAGTAGCTGTCATTGTGGGGAGAAAGCAAGCACATTCCTGGAGAGATTCACTGGCGTCTTGCACCTCCATTTCTGAGTAATTGACAACGCACCCTCACAGGATTATCTCGGGTCCCAAAGGCCGGCTATACGATTGTCGGCACCATCGTGGCAACGGTGGCCGACCCATGCGCCGACCCATGTACCTTGCCATGTGTATTTGCACGGTTTTTTATTGTTAGCTATGAACACATCGACATATTTATTATTTAACATGCTTATTCTATGTTGATTACCTGTATTTAACGTGCCAGCTTCATTTGACGACCTGTGTCGCGTGGGAGAATAACCGGAATAATGGCCAATGAACATGACACGCCTTAGCTTGCGCTGACCAGAAAAGACACCTGACTTTTTGTGTTTCTCCTTCACCTCTTGAACCGGTGACCTCTCACATATATTTTGAGGCATTGTGAGCAAATATTTTATGACCTCGTGAGCAAGGATTTTGTGACCTTGTGGACAAGTATTTTGCGACCTCATGAGCAAGGACTTTGCGACTTTGTGGGCGAGGATTTTGTGACTTAATGGTCACAAGGATGATCGGGGTGTGCAATATGATGTCTCAGAAATTATCCTGCATAGTTTAATTTCGCCAAAAAGCTGCAATGCCATGGCTGAGCCCTTCCCAAAGATATTTAGGGTAAGCGATGTTTTCCCCCAGTCAAAGGATAAAACTGGGAGTTAATGCCACCCTAATGCCACATAATTGAGTTAGAAACGCTGTTTGTTTGTTTGAGCGCGAGAAATGTTTCAGTGCACCCAGTAACTTGGTTTAAAAAAAGTTTTGGTACGAGAGCGCTTGTTCAACTTGACAGTCTACATTGCGGTGGCATTAAAGGCGTCAAGCTGAAGTTGTTGCTTTTTGAGCCGCCCATTTATGCTAGGTCTTCTGTTTCTTAGGTTCTCGTCGGCGTCCAGGCTCTGGCGTTGACCCCAGCGCCATCAGTTCGAACCTATCGTATCGGAGCCGTGTTCTCCTCCACCCAAGACGAATTGTTGCGAGAAGCATGCATGCAATGACTGACTGGCCGGCAGCCGACCCTTGTTTCCACTTTAATATCCGCTCAATATGAGAGGGGATTCAAGTTAAATAGCAAGCTAGAGGGCCTTTAACTTTTCGGGCTCAGTGCGCCATGACTGAGGGCTGTTACAGGCACATCTGAGAACACGCAAGTTTCTCCCGTTGTGTGCTGAAACCTAGCGTATGGCGTGTTGTGTGTGGTATTTCATTATTAGGAAAAGGAATAATCGAACCCCAATGTATCTAGAGACTTTTTTATTTTCGGGGCGCATATCCTCTCGTGTTTCTAGAAAATGTAAGCGCAACTCCTGGCCTTTCTGTAGATTTTGGTTGGGTTTTGACTTAGTCATGGTTGCATTTGCATTTTTTAGCGGTCCTGTCGCGTAAGCAGCAAATTGTGATTTAAGGAATTGCACACCATTTTTATCAAAGTTCAATAAGAATGATACCCATTTTGACTTTTCAATAAATAGCTGCGTGTGCAGCCTCTTCTAAAGCTGTCAGTTCGATTGCCTAGGCACCTACCACAAGACACCAACGCAGAAATACAATGTCCTTTATAGCTGTGCGGCTCCAACACCAATGGTAACAAGTCAACGTGTAACAGCCCGAAATGTTTAACGTGTCTCTGGTTACGGCACATCCTTGTTACCCTGACTAAACTACAGCTTTAAAGGGGGAACAGAGTATCAGACACCTCCCTGAACATAACAATCGAAATATCAAGGAGGAAGCTATAGTGTAACGTGCCATCGATCAGCCTCTTGCAGAATGTCCGGATGCTGCTCACATTTAATCCTGAAATATATGCTTTGAAACGAACCGTTCGCCACTCTGCTGCACAGAAATGGAGGTGCTAATTTATCATATCATTTGTCAGCTTGTGATGGATTGCTCGCGCAGCAAAACGACATCAAATCGTCCTGCGGCGGGAAGCTACGAAGCTCGAGCTGCGCATCACAGCAGCTAGACAGGCTTAGTTCGCTTGTTCTTGCCGCCAATGCCACATTACTTTCTAGTGTTTTGAGTGAACAACATGGCATCGCATCCCCTATTTAAAGACTGCATCGTGTTTTGAAGCTCGGTGAATTAATGTTCGTCCGAGATAACAAGTCATTGAGTCTCTGTTGAATAGAGCGGTAAAGCCGCTCCAGTCTGCACTTTGTAGACGTTGTTCACATTTGTATTTACTTGATTTACTGACCAATGTTAAACACGTGAGCCTACGTTATTCTAGGACGATGTGTGTGTGTGCGTGTGTGTGGGAGGGGGGGGGGGTGTATGTGTGTGTATGTGTGCTTGCACTCACGTGCGTTATTTGATAACTTCACCACTTCACGTGGGCACAGGAAGATGGGCAGCTGTTGCATTGCGCTGCACGCCGTCACTGAAGTAACGTGATGCGCCAACTGAGAAACTCGACGGCTAAGGCTGGTTTCAACCGATCTTACACGAAGCAAACAGGTATAACCACGTAGAGTTGAAATGTTCCGGAAGTTTTGATGCGAATATTCTCGTGCCGAACGCAGTTCCAGGATAATCCAGATTGGCCCACATAAAACCTAACATACCTTTTTTCTCAAGTTTTGCGTGCATTTGGCGCACAACCAGGAATTTAGTCGTGCAACAGCAAACAAAAACATGACTGAGCATTTCTCCTTGTTTTCAGAGAAGCATCTTTTGTCGAATGACGAACTGACGGATGTTAGATCACATATTTATTCGTCTGCGTTTGATCATGTCTTGCCATGAGCTGAGCACTCGAATGACACCAGTCTTCATTGCGCGAGAAAAACGCTTTGCACTCCTGACCAAACTTTGGATTAACTTTTACCTCGGTCACCTCGCAGAATTCTCCTACGCCATTGAAACGTTCAAGGTTTATGAATAATTGAATGCTGGGACCATACACTCCTTTAGAGGATTCTTTGAGTTGTTGTTTTGTATATACACCCAAAAACACGCCAGACACCAAAACTATCACACGCGCTCATAAAGGAGGGCATTCAGCGCGGCCTCATCCTGGCATGCACTGTAGTAATCATTAACGCCTCTCACTGAAAACCTAGCCCAGTCTTTGAGCGTAGTTCAAGTCGACGTCGCAAAGATATCGGTAATCGGCTGTATTAACAGCTTACTGTATTATCACCGTTTAATCACTGTGATTCTCATGTGGTTTCCCAAGCAATACCCTAACGTCATTTAACAACAAAGCTTTGTTAAACATTGAAGTGGCTGAGAATGTATAGCTAACTTGAGCGTGATGGCGTTTTTCCTTGTCACATCCGTGTCTCCGACCTGCTAATTGTCTCAGCAATCGGGCCTTTTGACAGACAACTGTGCCAAATCCAGTACTTCCTCGTTTCGAGCTTAGGAATCTTCCCTGTCACTGTTTCTCCTTCATAGCGCGCTGTACGGCCTGTTACATATTTAAATGCAAAATAAATGCGCTTTATGTATGACCAGATCGTTGTCGTTATCTGTATGCTGCCGATGAAATTGTAATGGAATACATGATAAACGGAAACTTTGTGTTCTGCATTTCGGTGTACATGCCTTAACACTGATGTAGCATCGTTCATTTGATGCAGTGTTATGCACTCTGTACTCTGAGCTTCTGAGAAAAAAGACGGATTTATTCCGGGACTAGCGGTCCTCCTAGCAAAGGGCATCAAAACCCACGTGACCTTTCTGAAATACATATCAATGCTATTTGATTTCGTGTCTAAACCACTGATGAGAGAGTTTGTTACCGCACCCGGTGCATGAAAAAGTCAGGGTGGTAAAATGGTTGCTCGAAGCAAAATCAGTCGCCATGACTCAAACTTAAAACGGTACTTAGGACACAAACCAAGTTTAAATGTCAATGTACAACGCGAAAAGCACCATGAAGACACGCATTTCAGCGTCATGTGAAGAAGTTTATCACAAATGGAGGTCTTGAAACATAACTGGTAAAAGCTGTCGACGGAAACGAGCCAAAGCCATCTCGGCCGATATTACAAACGAAAGAAAAGGGTTCCTGCAAAGCCTCCACAAATACTTCTGTCAACTCGGGCAGGAGCAAGCCGCGGTGAGGCCACTGTGTTGAGGCAGACAAAGCTCAGTCTGCTCAGTTACAAAGTGAAATCGCATCAAAAGCATCATCACCAATCGGTTGCAACGGACGCCTTCGCCGCAATGCCTGATTCCTACGTCCGTGCGAATCCAGCCTATCGTTCATTGATCAGATTTGGTTTGGTAGCAAAGCGCAGTTTCTTTTGCTCAGAAGCTTAGGAACCAAAGCAATCGTTTTTGGTCTACCGAAGCTGCCTATGAAGTTCGCGAAGCATCACTGCACACTGAAAAATGCGCCGTCTGACTGTCGCAAGACAGCCGAGGAGCTCCAGCGACCGTGGCGGCAAAACGGTGCCTGGCGGTCCTCAGCAAGTTCCGGACAGCATTTGAAGAAAGTCTGCGATGTAGATATGCAACTCCTCTCTCTCTCTCTCTCTCTCTCTCTCTCTCTTCTCCCTCTCTCCTCTTTGAAGAAACTCGTGTCGAGTATGAACTGCAACTCTCGCTCGCTTCTCTCTCTCTCTTCTCTCTCTCTCCTCCCCCCCTCTCTCTTCTCCTCTCTCTCTCCTCTCTCTCTTCTATCTCTCTCTCTCCACTCCTTCAGAGCTCTCTTCTCTGCTCATAGAGTCTCTCTTCTTTCCTATCCTTTCTCAGCTCTCTCTCTCTTCTCTCTCTTCTCTCTCTCTCTCTCTCTCTCTCTCTCTCTCTCTCTCTCTCTCTCTCTCTCTCTCTCTCTCTCCTCTCTCTCTCTCTCTCTCTCTCTCTCTCTCTCTCTCTCTCTCTCTCTCTCTCTCTCTCTCTCTCTCTCTCTCTCTCTCTCTCTCTCCTCTCTCTCTCTCCTCTCTCCTCTCTCTCTCTCTCTTCTCTCTCTCTCTCTCTCTCTCTCTCTCTCTCTCTCTCTCTCTCTCTCTCTCTCTCTCTCTCTCTCTCTCTATCTCTCTCTCTCTCTCTCTCTCTCTCTCTCTCTCTCTCTCTCTCTCTCTCTCTCTCTCTCTCTCTCTCTCTCTCTATCTCTCTCTCTCTCTCTCTCTCTCTCTCTCTCTCTCTCTCTCTCTCTCTCTCTCTCTCTCTCTCTCTCTCTCTCTCTCTCTCTCTCTCTCTCTCTCTCTCTCTCTCTCTCTCTCTCTCTCTCTCTCTCTCTCTCTCTCTCTCTCTCTCTCTCTCTCTCTCTCTCTCTCTCTCGCTCTCGCTCTGCCACTCAGACCACCATAAGTGACCTCGCCGTTTGGTCTGATCTCAACGTCAACGACCCCATTTCCAACCCTGCTCCGTCGCCGGGGGCATTTTCAGCACAAGTCCTCTTCTTGCTAGCGATCCTGCTTCCAGCTTCAACCCCCCTTCACCACCGTCACCATATTCCTTCCCGCCAGGCGGTCACGTTCTCACCGCCTCATATGTTCTCGCCACCACTCTGCTTCTCTCAGCGCCTTACATGTCCTCGCCAACACTCTCCTTCTCTCGCCGCCTTACATGTCCTCGTCAACACCTCCCTTCTCTCAGCGCCTCACACGTCCTCGCCACCATTTCCCTTCTCTCAGCGCCTCACATGTCCTCGCCACCACTCTTCTTCTTTCAGCGCCTCACATGTCCTAGCCACCACTCTTCTTCTCTCAGCGCCTCACATGTCCTCGCCAACACTCTCCTTTTCTCGCCGCCTCACATGTCCTCGCCACCACTTCCCTTCTCTCAGCGCCTCACATGTCCTCGCCACCCCTCTTCTTCTCTCAGCGCCTCACATGTCCTCGCCACCACTCTTCATCTCTCAGCGCCTCACATGTCCTCGCCACCGCTCTTCTTCTTTCAGCGCCTCACATGTCCTCGCCACCACTCTTCTTCTCTCAGCGCCTCACATGTCCTCGCCACCACTCTTCTTCTCGGCACCTTTCCTGCGCTTGTCTCGCTCTTACCTTCAATTCACGCACTTTTCCCGATCATGTTGGCATCGCTACAGCCCTTCCAATCACCCGTCTCACTCTTGTCCGTGGTCCTAGCTGTTCTGTCGTGTCGACACTGGACCCAGTTTTGGGCTCGAAGCTGGACCAAATTCATCAGCCAGAACTTTGTACTGCTCTGCAACGCGTCGCTCTTCGTCAGTGCATCTAGCTCTTTGAACAGGTCCGCGATCCATTCCTTTCCCGTTTTCGTCTTCTCCAGTCTCTCTCCCACCTGGGACAGCAGGGCACAGACCACCCGGAGCGAACCGACGTGTTTGTGACGCAGAAGCGCGGAAATACTCCAGTACATGTGCCCGACGCTTATCGCTCGCAGCCGAAACAGGCAGCCAACGAGGCAAATGTGGTTCATGGCGCGACGGTGAGCCTCGCCCTTCTCGACTCTGAGATCGTGAATCTTCTGTCTCCGGATGGTGATGTTCTCTTCTTCCTGAAGCTCCATAAGTCGTCGGCTGCGCTGCATCTCTCTGTCTTCCTTGACATAACGTAGGACGACGTCAGGCAGCATCTCACAGAAGGTGATCTTTCTGCCCGGTCTCAACTCGACGGCTACCTGCCAGCGAACCAGTAGGCATGTCAGAGACGCATCACCGCACGACAAACAGGCCGACCGAACCACGGAATACCAGAAGAAGGACATCCCAAGTCATGAGTGTGCTGTATGTATTGCTGTGAATTATGCCCAACAGGTACAGGCCAGCAACGTGCAAGGTCAGAGAGCAAAATTCACAGGCCTGTTACAAATTTAGTGAAGGAGTGAACGAAATGATAGAAAAGGGTGCAAAATCAAGGTAACATATAAGCACAACAAAGGTGTCTATAGAACGCCGAGCAGACGCTGCCCTTGATGTTGATGGTCACCAATGGCAAAGACAACCTTTTAATAATAGTTTTAAAAGAGATACGCCAAAACTGAAAACTTTTGCCACCAATTCGTTTCCACTGGAAGCCGGTTAATAACGCCAGGTCTGCTGCCGTAGCCCGCGCGGTCACGTCGGGTGGAAAGGATCCGGGCAGTAGGGAAAATTCATGTCACCCAAGCTGCGCAGAAGCCTGCAGACACCTGTGGTACAAAAAAAGGTATTCCAAACGTCCGCAGCAGTGATATAAAAAACACAAGTGGCAAACATTCCAGAAGTGGTAAAGTTGCTACCTCTACAAAGTTCATTGTTGTTGTTGCCGTTGTCATGGTCACGGGCACAGGTCTCCACAACCTTTTAGCACGCCATAAGTTCGCGGAATACAGTTTAAGGCGTAAAAGTGTTATTTCTAGCTGATTCACATGGCTCAAGATCTCCTGCGCGGACTCGTGTCGCGGTGCACCGTGAAGCGAGAATACAGCGGTCACCGCCGCGTTATTATTTATCAATGAAATCGAGACAAGGCGCCCAGCACGGCATGTTTTCGTGCCTTCCTGCATAACGTGCATGCTCAAGATTTTAACACGCGCCCGGGCGGCCGACTGGACACCCTTCGCTCGGGTGGGAGGTCAATTTGATATCCCCCTGAGATCTTAGGAACTAAGAGGGCTAGAGACACAAAATTAACAGTTTGTTGGCCTGTACCTGAACTCACTCAGGTCAAAGTTTGAGGTACCTAGGTCAAAAACTTGGGGTCAAGCAAGATCACACAAGGTCAATCTCCAGGTTGGTGTTCTAAGTGCCAACAGAACCTAGATACCTGTTCTAAGCCAAACGTCACATGATCATTTAATGTCAGTACGTTTTTATCTTTTGAAGATCATAGTGACCAAAATCATACAAGACTGCTTTCAGTCTTGCTTTTGAACAAGCGACAAAGATACCGCTAGGCAGCGTGTTCCTAAAAGCAAAACGTTGACCTGGGTCATTTTAGGTCAGCGGCTTATTGTGACCTTTGAAAAGTGTATGAAAGATGTATAATGCGGTTTCTATTATAAAACAATTCAAATTGAGTACCAAAAACTATACGACACAGCAGCCCCTACCGTACTAAGACAGATTAGCTTTGACCTTGGTCTAACCTTCAAAACTCGCCTTAGATCAATGGAACCTGTTCACTCAATTGTTGTGCTGCCTTAGAAAGTAGCTCAGATATGTGTGGTCTCGTCTAACACTCCGTTGTTGCATCAGGTTAACCGATTCCCTAGAAATGACTTCACAGAATCCATGGTCTGACTTTGACCTGCCTTAGATCAGCGACCTTACAAGGAACATCTAAAGTTTTCGGTACCAAACGACACGCTATTCAATTGTCTACCGCTTTGCGAAGTTTGTTGCAACTGTGCCGTGCCGTTCGGAAACCATTTTGGAAAAACTTCGGGGGTCAGTTTGACCCCATCCGATCGCGTGTTGAAAGCCCGGGTTTGTTCGAGGCGATTTATTGCAAAAGGGTGCTGGAAGCGATTTGAAGTTTCCATTACTTCATCCCGCGAGAGATCCTACGCGCGAGCCCGACGTGAACAACGCAGAATGAAGCACTACCACAGACGGTGTCGGTCCCCTGGGACCGCTTAGGCGCTGAACCGGAAGCTGGCTATCCAGGCGGATGCATGGCTAGGGCTTATGCACGCTTTTCATTTCATGTGCTCTGAAACTAATTAAGCCTCCCTTGACAAGAGGATTGATGAGGTGAGGAATACCGTCCAGGCTCCTTCCCACTCCTTAAGGTGTTTTGAGGATATCGTTTCGGCCCTTTGTGCAATTGTGCCCAAGTTTTCTGTGTTGTCTGGGGCGTGCATTACGCGTGTCACCATCTGGGCATTGTCCTCATCATCTGGGGCATTCATTCATCAAGTGCTTTAAAAGAAGAGCTGCCACTGATTAGTTAAGGTGTACCCATCTGATCAGCAGTGGCAGTTTCGTGCCAACCAACCCAGCTTCTCGCTGTTCCGCAGGTTGGATGGAGGGGGGAGGGGGGGGGGGCTGTTCATGCTCGAAGTCCGGGCATGCGTCCTGGAGCTCGTCAGCGCGTTTCTGGGACGCGTGGTTTGGCTGCGACGACGGTAGGTCCCGCTTTCCTGACCACATCGTACTACTATCAGCGGGCCTGGACGCAAAGGCTCCGATGCGGTTTGATGCCGACGATATGATGCGTTGCTCGTCCACTGCTACGACTCTTTCGGTATCACTGCTGCTGCCTCCGCCTCTTTTATGCCGTCACTATATTTTTATCTGGTACCGTGTTGCATGCATGTGTAGTAGCTCTATTGTACATGCTGCTTACATTCGGTACATCGCAACATACGCGCTGAAATTATTAGTTTACTTGAGATTGCAATTTTTCTTCACATGGCCTGCATCTTATACATGAACAGAATTGTCGCTTTGCGGGGCGAGTTATTCTTTCACCAAGATGCTCGCCTAATGTTGATGGTGTGTTCGAAATATCACACGTCGATGTCACACGTTTAATATTTAGCCAATGTCGGAGGGAAAAAAGCGTCAATCATGCCAAGAAAACAGTCAAATTTCAACTTCAACATCAAACTTATCAGGTTCACAAGTGTAGGTGACGAATACATTGACAGAACATCATTTGGCGTTTAGACTAGAAAAGCAGATCATTGTGCCCAAAATATGTTTTGGTGACCAACCAAAGAAAAGAATGGTATTCGCATGCAAGATGTTAAGATATTTTGAGCTATGCAAGCATAGTTTACTTTCCAGCACGCAGAACCCTTCGAGAGGCAGGATGTAAGTATTTAGGAAAACCATGAGCCCACGAAGCCCACCAACAACACTAGCGCTATCTATTGCATACATGATATCATAAGTGTGTAATCAGAACACATACAAATAAACACCACTATACTAACAATTAAACAAGGAACGTGTCTGTTCAAGTTTGGTGTTCCCACAAGGCAAGGTCTTTGTAGGCATGATGTAAAGCTGAGAAGGGGACCGACTTGCCATAATTGGGTCAGTTATTCAACTAACAACATGAAAGCTGGTACCAATCGCGAAATCTTGTGGAGGTCATGCCATTGGTGTTTGTTTTTCTTTTTACCACGTTCATCTTTATTAATTTAGAAACGCTGGGTGGTGATGTCAACCTCCATTAGTCCATGTTATGAAAAACAGTGAATCAGAGCGAGGGTGATGGGGACTGATCGGACCATTCGTATTTTGTGGGAGACAGGCGTAGGGCTGTTTTACATTTGCTGCGGAGTCTCTGCGGCATGAGTCGGCCGAAGCTTAGCTAAGGCAATGCACATTAACAGGTCTGCTAGACTTGCGGCCTGCATCGCCTCATTCCCGAGGACAGGTGCAAAGCAATTATCTGCAAAATATTCATCATTAAGACTCAGTTATGACGGTCTGAAAGCTACCTTCGACGAAAACGATCTCAACTGACACGTTTATCAAAACGTTGATCTAGTGGCCGCTGGCCCGTTGGTGACAACCCCCACATGAACCTCGATGTTTATGTTCCCGCCCAACCCGTGACGGCATGCGGGATGCTAGTTTTGTCGTGGAGGCTTATCTCCACTCCATTGGTTACCACAGCAATCAATCCTCTGCCAGCAGTTGTACTTGCGCCAACTATGGTAACGTCTCATGAACAGATGATATGATATGATTTCAGGACACATGCCAGGAACCATTTGGTGTGCTTCACAAAATGTGGGGTGTAGGGGAATTCAACACAAGAGGTCGATTTTACGACGAACCTGGGGATGTCTCAATGCCTCAACATATTTCAAGTGGTAAAACTGAGACGTTTTATTTTGTAAATGTTATTTCACGCTAAGTGAAAGCGAAAAAAATTGCCAAGTTTTGCATATTTCAAAACGACGCTTAACACGGAGACGTGCAACATGGGCGTGGGAGCGTCTTAGAAAAAGCAGGGTGCAAATACGAATTTAAAAGTGATTATTTCCATATGCCGCCCTTAGGTTAATGCCCAGCATTCTCGGAGAAGGAAGGTGCCATGGCATTGACGGAGCCCCAGTTCCCACGTCCATGGCGTACAAAATCAATGCCAATGTACCTGCAGGTTGGCCAGGATGATGCACGTCAGGGCGCATATCCTGGCGCTGCGTGCGTCTGACACGGCCCTGTCATGCACGGCAGCCACCAGCGTGTAGAGGCCCAGCTCCGTCTCCACCTGCACCTTCCCCAGCATCTCTCGCAGTCTTCTCTTGGTGGCGGCATATCGGCCGTTGAGCGGAACTTTGTTGAGGACGGCGGTCACCCTCCGGACGGTACGGAGGTCCGGGTGCAGATCAGCTGCAGTTTCCGGACGGAGCAGCCTCCATGGCGCGTCGGCCACGTGCAGGCCGCCTCTGCCGACGGTCGCCGTCGCGACGACCCCCTGACCCGTCTCAGCACGGGCTGGCTCGGTGTCAGCAGGCTGTGCGAGATCATTAACATCGCATTTGTCTTCGGTTTGCGGCATACGTCACGGGGGCGATGTCAATACAAGCCTCAGTCGTTTCGATACACATAAGTTGAGGCGCTCGCTATAGGCGAAAGGAACTGTAAACCGAGCGTATGGCGAACATCACTATATTCATGTCACTGTGGTTGTGGACAAACCTCCAACACCTGGCTCTCCGCCACAGGACGGCAGCAGTCTTCTGAGGCCGCGCCAGCCTGAGCATCGGCGGTTTCCATCCCCGACTGCGTGCACTGTCTCCCCTGGTCATCCGCTCCGGCGGTCCGGGACGGCGCGTACCCTGTCAGGGCGTGAGGCGCGTCAGCACGTGAGGACGGGCGCCGCCAGTGCGGTTCATGGCGAGGCGATGCCACCAGGGAATGTGAAAACGCGTGGTGACGTCGCGAAGTCACGTCTCTGGGGGTGGTCTGAAAGCCGCTATTGCAGATGACAGCATGGTCGCAGCGCGCCGCACTTACCTGCAGGGCGACTCGCCGCACCGGTCTCTTTGGCGACCTCCGACTCGATGACGGCCGTCACAGTGTCCAGCAGGTGGTTCACTTCGGTGTCCTCGATCAGATCGGCGGGCCAGCCATGGTCCACACCTGAAGTCCGCAAACACAATCACCTTCATTACAGGGTGCCGCTACCACCCTCATCACCTTCACCAACATAGCCATCACTAGCAACATCATTGTTGCATCGATATCATGTTTACGAAAATCACGTGGCCACAGCATACTCTGAGAATGGAGAAAAGAGGAGATGCGTGGTTATTCTGATCTTCATGGAAGCTTGACATTCGACGCTTGGTATGTCGATGGATGAAAAATGTTGAGGAGTATCGGTAGCGTAAACAAGGGGTACGGAGTTCGGGTCCACGCGGTAACTGCCCATCCTGCTATGGTACAAGACAGGCAATGCCACACAACCTCGGCAGCTGAGTACGCTGAAAGGCCTCGATGACGACAGCCAAATTGTTCACATGAACCGCCAGCTTAAAGGTTCCAATTCCCTCGGTCAGCTTAGTATAAAATCTCCCATTCGCACACTTAGTGTTCGTTGCCAACAAGTATAACGCTGCTACCAAGCTACAGGTCCATTCTGCCATGCCATCGCCTTAACCGTCCAGGATTTTAACCGATTTGTCCAGGCCAGAGGGGAATGAGCGTGTGCGAGTACTACTTCCCGCTGATGATTGGATTCCGGACTGCAGAGTTAAGTAGCGGGGATTGCAAATGCTTGGACCACGATCATCACACAGGACAAAAATGACTTTCGAAGATTTTAAGCACACCCCATATTCTGAACTTCGTGTGAGAAATCCTTGCGAGAGTCCTGCTTGTTTCTTTCCACTATGAAAATAGCCCAGAGGCAGTGTTAAGTCGAAGAGGACCAGGACACCATAGACACATAACACCTTGGTGGTTGGGAGAGTCCCAGTGGCGCCTCAAAGCCAGCGAGCCGCGGAGAGTGCGGCCCAGCCAGTACTATACGCCTTTCCTTTTGAATTTTACGAACCGACAAAACTTTTCGAACGCGGCACTCGGTCATCTAGTCGGCAAAACTAATTGACGATCTACGTTTGGAGAGACGAGATTAACAAACCGCTCTAAACTGTCGCACTTCACAGTTGTTGTGATACACTTTGGGGGAGGACATCACGCCAGCCTTTTTCTTCAATTTTCAAAATGATAATATGTGAATCCAAACCATTTTTGCATCGATTTGCACTGCAGAAAACATTGTTATCACCAAGCGAGGGAAGTGACAGTCAAGAGGCGAGCACTCACCTTCGTCCGGCGGCCCGAAGCCCAGATTCATGGCCAACGGGCCATTCAGTGTGCAGGCGACCTCAAGCGTCGGCAGCGGCTTGTTCAGCAGCGCGTTGATGCTAATTGCCATCAGGTGCACGTACTGCAGCTCGTAGTGCAGGTGCGTGGCGGCTAGGTGGAACCTTGCGGGCCGCGGCTGGCGGTGCCTGGCCAGGCGCTGCCGACAGGCGGCCGCCTGCTCCGACGCCAGCCCCAGCTCCGCGGCCGGCCGTCTCGGCCGGCGCCAGCGCCAGGCAGCTGAGCAGCACGGCGCGCACATGATCGCGGCGGCTGCGGCTGGCCGTGGCGCGGCGCCAGTTGACCAGCGAGGCGGCCAACAGCTGCAAAAGCGGCGGCACGGCGTCCAGCGCCGTCGGCCGCAGTCCCAGTGTCGCCAGGGCCACGCGCTGCCGGGAGGCGCGGTCACCGAGCAGCGCACGCTCCAGCAGCGGCGCCCGCCAGTCGACGGTGGCCGTGCTGCAGCGCAGCTTGCGGCTGTGGCGAGCGTATAAGAGCAGCGGCCCCGGCGGCGCCCCGAGCAGTGCCGCCCGCCGCACCAGCAGCGGTACGGCCGCCATCGCCGTGGCCGGCAGGCTCGGGTCTTCCACCATCGGCTTCAGTATACAGGGTACGCCGGCTACGCTGTTTCCGGCGCAGAACAGAGGGTCAACACGTCCTAGCGCCAGGCGCATGCCGGGGGGCGACCAAGGCGTCTGGTCTGGCGAGGCGGCTGACTGGGACACGCCATTATCCACGCCCGGCTCGGAGGAGCGCTTCAGCCGGTCGTAAAGAGCCTGGGCGCCGTCCTGCAGAAACTGGAGGTTCTGCTCATCCCTAGAGCTTTTGTTGAACGTAGTCACGTAGTCCGCTACGTGTTCACGCTTCTCCTCAGGCAGTGTTTCCAGCACCTGCAAACCGAAGCAAATTCTGGTATGCTCGGCGTGTTCCCGCTTCCTACCACACATCCCCTACGTGCTCTACATGTTTTGACCTCTTCTAACATTCAACCTAAATGTCGTAGAGAATGTCCATTGCCCAACAGCTATGTCCATATTTTTTGTGCTCCTTCCGTCTTTTTCACCGCTGGATAAGTTGCTTAGAGCCATATGGAGCGTGTTTTGTATCATGTTGTGCTTAGTGGAAGTCGGATGCGCAGATTTGCAGTGCAGAATTATACCAGAGTTGGTGGGCTTGATCACAGCTACGTTTCTAACGTTGTGCGGTTGTTCCTCTTTTCTACCGTCACTAGTGTATCAAAATGCGGACCCCCTTTCTGTATGGTCCATTGTAAAACGTGAATGGGATGAATAAATTGGCTTAACACTACCTGACATAGACGAACACTTGCCCTCGAAAATTCAACATATCTTTAGAAAATTAAAACTGCGCGTACGCATAGCTTAAAAGAACAAGGAGCTAAATAACTTTCTAGTTACATATCTTATATCGAAGCCTAAGTGCCCGGGGTGCGATTGGTGACATATATGCATGTCTGGGTTTTAGGGGGTTTGCACGCGAAGAAATGTGGTTTACGGATTTAAGTGTAAATTGTGCTAAAAACATGGCGTACATAGTCTGTGTTGGAAGTCCATGCGCCCTACTCGTTTCAGTTGTAATGAACACCTGCGAGATGCTAAAAGCGAAACAGATAATCAAAACGAACCCTTTCGGCGACCATCTTTTTGACAGAACACGCTGAGGTTAAAATCCAGGTAAGTACGAACCCTTTAACCCTTTTTGAGCTGAAAGTTATCTTCCAAAGCACGGGACCATCCAGACAGAAAAAAACGGTAAATCTGTTTTTATACGAAGCTGGCGACCAGAATTTGATGTAAAGGACTCATCATGAGAAATTATGTGAATGTGACTAGTGTCCTGATGCGTTATTCATGCTGGGTTGAAATCGCTTTCATGTATCAGTGTTGCACTGACGCTTGATACACGATGTCTGTTTAACTGAAATCGCTTCCATGTAAAAGTGATGTGTGATGCGAGATGCCTGTTTACTTGAAATCGCTTATGGAGGTAAATGATGTGTTATGCCGGATGCCTGTTAACTTGAATTCATTTGCACATGCACGTATTTTTTCGCGCATTTTGATTGTCAGTGAGATGTGCATTGTATCGCAGAAATTAATGGCGACTGCTCCTTGTTTAATACCCTGCACGTTGGTGGTCTGTAAATGCTGTGGCTAGCTGTTTATGAGAAAAAAAAAACAACTTAAAAGTCGAGTCGAATCGGCTTTGAATGCATATAACTCAACGCGACTTTGAATTCGCTACCGATACTCTTTTCGATGAACGCATATAGCCGAAGCATCACATTCATCTCTTCATTTTCCTTTTTGTTCTTTGAGAAATAAAGCTACTGATACTGTGCCACCATGTCGATAGGATGGCAGCATACCTTCTACATAACAGTTTTAAACGTAATGTAAACATTATGTCCGGTCACTAAGATCAGTCTACATCAAAGTCATGCCATAATGCCAAGTCGACTTTAGTTCCAACTGCGTTGGAGCTATGACTAAATGCCTATCCTGTAAATGAATCGCGTGCAGGGTTGATGTGTGGTCGTGTATGCTTCCTGCAACGGGAAGAGCGTTCATTGCAATTGTCAAAGGGCGAGACTGCCAGGATCGTCTCGTTTGCACAGGATTGCGTCGCCGCAGACTCGCCCTGCGGCCGAGTGTCTCTGTTGCCGGCGCAGTATCACTGCCTGCTGCCGTCGGCAACTGCAAAGCCCGCCCCCGTACCTGCCCGCGAACAACAAACAAACTCGAATTCAGTTAGTAGCCTGTGCCGGAGAACTCAGTTGAAATCCCCGGCCGCGTCAGGGTCCGATACCTGCCAGTCATACACACGATTTCAAACAGCAAAACCAAGGTGATGCAGATGACTTTGTGGACTGGAACATATAAAAATTTGGCGCCTGGGAGTTGCCTTGTCACCTACGCCACCTCTTTTCCTTTCTCCTCTCCTTCGTCCTACCTTTCATCCCACTTCCCCTAATCCTGAGTTCCCCCCCCCCCCCCCCCACCGAACTCGCCGAATGCGCAACAGCCTAAAGTCGCGATGCACACTGAAAATGTGGTCGCTTCAAATGTGATTGTCTCTAGGTGCTTTGCGCGCCGAGATATAACGGTACACGCAAAAACCCGTCAAAAACGCTAGCGCGACTTGGTGCGAGATGGCATAATCGGTCGGAGGCAATGAATTACAGCAGCCAGTCATTAAAACCTTGGTATCTTGCAATTTGTCCCGCGATTTACAGCGCGACGTTGCGTTGCACAAACTCGCGATGCGACTGAAAGTGAACCCGTTTAAATTACGAATGTTGGAAAACAAAATTCACGCATGTACACGCACGCCTGTACATCCACGCGCACGGCGAACACAGCGACCGGTACACACAGCGCGCCGCCAACCACCAGGCGCGCGCCGAGATCGCCCACTCGGATCGCCCGCCCGCCGGCTCACAGCCGAACAGTCCACGGGGCTATCATCACAGCTTGAGAAATGGGTCGGAGGGCGGTTCGTCGACGTTACGCGATGACGTCACGAAGTCATACGGAAATGCGGCAAAAAATGCAGCAACCGCATTAGCAAACAAAAAATAGCATGGTGTTTGAATAGTGATATGCGCGCTTTCGCTTGTCTCCAAACCCGTAATATGACGCAAGAGACATGAAAATGTATAATGCGCCTATGTGAACAAACTTATTAACAATAATACTTGTCAATCTAACGTAAAACAATGCACTTGCAAGAAGGAGCACATCTCCATCGGATATATACCTTGTCCAGTGCTGCCTGGAGCGATGTCTGGCCGGCCAGCCAGTCCAGCATGGTGTCGAGTCGCTCCTGCTGCGGGGTGCACCACCGTCTCTCTGTGTGCCCGGCCTGCGACTCCGTCAGCCACTCGAAGAACGGGTGGAAGAGCTCGCCCGGAAAGTAGTCGTTACCCGGTAGCGTGGCCACGAGACCGAGCATGGCCGAGTCCACACCGCAGTGCTCCAGAAGCCTGCAGTGTCACAGGCAGCCATCTCCAATTGTCCGGCTCATGTGCTTGGCCGAAAATTTGGTAGGAAGACACGCAAGACGCCAAATTGGCAGGCACGCGCTCATGTGCCAAAGTGAGTTGTGTGGGTCCCATGGCCTTATTTCAGCTAGGCGTTCGGCGAAAGCGTCTCAAAATGGAATTCTCCCCCTCAACGTGGCGACGGACCTTCTCATTCGGCGGGTTGGTACCGGCACATGTAAGTTACACAGGCGGGTGAGCAGCCGGCGCTCACCTCTGTAACTCACAGAGACGGGTGAGATGCAAGCGCTCACCTCTGTAACTCACAGAGACGGGTGAGATACAAGCGCTCACCTCTGTAACTCACAGAGACGGGGAACCTATGAGCGCTCGCCTCTGTAGCTCACAGAGGTTGGTGAAATACCAGCGTTCATCTCTGTGACTCACAAAGACGAGTGATATTTTAGTGCTCACCTTTGTAACTTACAGAGGCAGATGAGATATCAGCGCCCATATCTGTAACTCACATAGACGGGTGCGTTATCAGTGCTCACCTCTGTAACCGGAACACACAGAACTTCATAGAGTAGCCGATATTGTCCCTCGAGCGAAGTGAGATTTCTGCTCTGCGCTCTGGCGTGATGCGTACACAAGGCACGTCCAGCAGGAAGAAGTCCGAATCATTGCTAAGGATGGGGCAGTTCAGACGGCCTGCTAGCTCCGCGGCCGCATCGTCCGTCTCCATGGAGCTCAGGACCACGGCCACTCCCAGTCTGCGCAGCACCTGCATGGGCGAGGTCAGATGCACGCAGGTCAGACGGGCGGGGACAAGGAACGGCTCGTGCAGTCCTCGCAGCGACGCGACCAGGCATGCTGGGCATGGAGACCATGGGTGATAAAACTTGCCGACTTGGTTGATAAGGGTGGTAACAGAAATGTCCTATTTCACGTGACACTTGTTGCCAAAATGTTTTTGACCGAAAGTTTGGTGACGGCCACAACAAAAACATTACAGTGCGCATTCCACAACCTTACATGGGGCTTCAGCGGTAATGCATTTCATCAAATGCTTGCAAGCCTTTACGTCAAGACCCTTTACCGCACCCTACAACACCTCGGTATCTTTTTGAGGCTCAATCCCAACCCGGCGACCAAAATATCCTATGATTTTAGTTA